GGCGCAACTAAAACACCTTCATAATATTAGAAAGGTAATGTTGGATTTTAAATATTTTTGCAAATTTTATTGTCAACAAAAAAAAAAAAAAAATTTTTTGCTGTGCTGACCCACCGAGTTCCCGACCAGCTGTTGAGGGACTGCCCGACCAGTCAGAAGGAGCGGGATGAGAAGCAGAAGCCGCATCGGGACGACCTCCAAACATGATGATGCTTCATGTACTTTGTACAACAACTCGTACAAGAGATGTTCTTTTCAAAGTGTCCGTAACTCTGGCGGAGCGAGCGAGATGCCATCCGGCGAATAGGAGTCATTGTGTGTGCAACCAATATGCGCAGGTCCAGACCCAGTCCTCAGTCCTCGTCCGCAAACTTCGGTCCATATCCTGGCGAACTGCTCCCAAACCCCCTCAATCAGATGCCCATCACATTCCCTTTGTACATAAACGGAGCAAAGCTTCGTTCGCTTTTTTTTTTAATTTTAATTCCACGATGGAGGGAAGGAGTAAGGGTTGTGCCTGAGTACTCACACTCCAGCAGAATTCCAACCCCACGGAGCACAGATTTCCTCCCCTTTCAAAGAGCCACCACCAACTAAAAACAAATGTGGAAATTATTTTCGAATAAGTTTGAAAACAATACTCGGAAGGAGGGGCAACAAACAACAACCAGGACCGGCGGCAGCCTCATTTGTTTCTAATGAGGTTAAGACCGCCATTGCTGCCATCCGCCAACTGAAATGAACCGAACTGGCGTCTGATGCCGGTCTAGACTAGCTGCCAACTGGGGGAAACTGCCACTGCCAGTAGTGCTGCCGGTTATTACCGAAGGTCAATAGTGGCACTTTGTCTACGGAAAAGTTGCAAGCAAAGTTCAGCGCAGAAACACTCACTTTTCAGGTGCAATGCCCACTGCAAGGCCATTGGAGGAGGCTCTGCGAAATCGGTGTGATTGCATCGGAAATAGCTTTATCTCCCAGTATTAAAGGATTCGGATTTCTATCCTCACAGATGGATATACTCAACAGTTTTGGTAAGAGTGCGGTGTATTTATTGTTAAAAAAAAAACACGTTTAAAAACTAAATCCCCTCGGTCGAAAGAACTATCATTTTAAATAGCTAACATTTTTTGTGTGAAGATGAAAAATGTAATTTAAACAAAAATCTAGATTTTATATTTAAATTGTTGTTATTATTAACGTTATTTTTAGTATTAATTAATATCGTTAAGGGATAGGTTTACTAAATTCGGTGATAGTTTTTAAAAAAAATATATATGTATATTTTTGAAAAAATATCTAGGATATCCAGCAAAGGATATATATGCAGAGAAGGAACTCAATAATATTTTAAGACAAAAGTTGGGGTTTTCCTTATTGCACTACATTCTCTTTTACATTTTATGATTATATTTTGAGGCGATTTGACAAAAATAATTTAATCGGTACAGCTGATTATACGAATTTATTAGGTTTTTGATTTAGCGGGACAGGAAAGGATATATATGCAGGTATTAAACAATTAGCAGGGCTCCATTGACATTTTTCATTTATTTTTTATATATACCGATCTTATAAAGCTCAAATATCAATGAAAACATCTCCCATTAAGAGCAAAAATAAAATCCAAATATTCAACGAATTTTTTGCTTCTAAACTTGAATATTTCAATATCCACTATATATAAAAACCAATTCAAAAACAAAAATATGATAAATTTGATAGGTTCCCTGTGTTGAAAAAACACAATTTTATAATCTTTGATTTTTGGGCATGCGGTTGACAATTATTTTTAGAAATGTCCAGATTTATTCATTGTCAGTTAAATTTAATACTGTCTTATTCAATTGAACTAATATTATTAACTAATTAAGAACTAGTTATTCCCAATTGAAATTGTTACCAATACACCGCGTATATTATATTTTCAATAAAGAAATCGTTATCCATCATTATGATTTCATATATTTATTCCTCTGGTTTCTGATGAAAAATAAATTTGTTTAAAGCGCGAATAATTATTCTGCTATGTTTCGCTACTGTTTTTCATGTTTATATATTATATTATATGGCATTAAATATGGCATTAATGAATTAAATGCGTATCTTTAATGATAGACTATGTAATTACTTTATGCGTTACTGTTTTCTGACCAAAATTTTAAATAAGGGATCGAGCCCACTTGCCACTATATGTGTGAAACAAATTCATTAATACTAAAGATTCTCTAATAATTTTTATATGAATGTAACCGCATAAAAATACGTATATAAAATTGTTAAATAATAATGTTTGTATAATTTCTTGCATTAAAAACAAACAACAAAATCTCCCAACTGGTTTAAAATAAGAAATATTACTATTTTTAGATTTTAGAGTTTTTAAATAAAATAACAATAATGCGCATTTTTAAAATATAAATATTCCTGAAGGGTTTATTAAGATTTTTATATTTAATACTTTTGAAGGGTATACTTACATATGTAATTTTCATAAAAACTCAACGAGAAAATCAAGGAAAGTTAATATTTCAGTAGTTTCTGAAAAGAAGAAGGAAAATTTTAAATAAATAAATTAAATAGTTGAATAAATTTCTTAAAAATAACAATTACATTTAAAATATTTTACAGAACATTCAAAAAACAAGATATTTAAACAGGAAGCAACAAATCTACAAAACTAATACAAATTCCAAAAAATATGCGCAAAGTATTTGATTTAAAATGGTGTGTGTAATATTAAAAGAATTCAATCACTTCCTCAGCCACAAAACCATTTTCAATAACCCCTTAAATTCGGAATTGGGGGCGACAAATATTTCTCGCACGAGTGCGTCTAGTTTACGCCAAATAAATTTAAAGAATGCGATTATGGTAAGATGAAAGGATACACTAACCGAAATAACTCAATTGAGAAATGGCCAAGGCTTGCTGGTATATATAACCAAATCGTTCTGAACCCTTTCAGATTGTGTTGAAGTCCAATGTTTAGAATCTTTTAGCTCTTCGGTCCACTTATTGACGTGCAACTCACTTTAATTCCTAATTATTAAACTTATATTACAGGTGATGTAGTACATGCAGTATCTGAAATAAAATTAAAAGAACATTAGTTTATTTTCATATTACAATTTCTAGATTATAAATTATTGTTCACATATATTTAGTCAATATTTAATGAACCATTTTTATCGAAAATTTATATAAATATTCTTACTAAGCGTTTTCTTAGAATTTCTCTTCAAAGTTTAGCAAAATATCTTTGAAGTAGGGTAAATATCAACAAAATAATATATACAATAATAATATATATATTCAATAATATTAACACCTTCTTAAAGTTATTATTAAAACTTAGTTAATATATTTCAAAAGCAAAAGTCCAACTGAGTAACAAAAACAATATTTTTTTTTTTAGTAATTCTTAGCAAAGAACGTTCTGCGCTAGAGCTTCTACTGGCTACTGCTTATAGTCCTTAGATGTTACATTTTTGTCTGGTTATGTCAAATCAGCGGATTCAAATTTTTCAATAAGAACAGGTCAGGAGGCAAACTGTATGAAGAAAAAAGAATTATAAGTTTGGCACACAACGTAAATAGCAATACTCACCCTTAGATTCGTGTATCCTTTGCTCCGATCAACTTAATTTGAATGATAGGCAGGTCCTGGCGAAATCCTGGCGGCCTGAACACTGGTCATAAACGGCGGTGACGAGGTGGGTTTGGACGGGAGTAATTTGATTGTAGCTTTAACGGCTGGACGCATCGATTCTGACTCTGATTCTAGTTCTGATTCCGACAACGAACGTGACGAGGATGCTTTCATTTTGATTTGTATGCTCAACGAGGGATTCGTAACTAACAATTAATGGCAGATTGCACAAATTGTGGAAGGACGACAAGACGAGAGAGTTCAATCAACAAACAAACGCAAACGTAAACGTAAACAACAAAATGCGGTTAACAAGGCGCAGGCACAGCGATTGGGGATAAAGACAATGGGCACCGAATTAAATGCTAAACAACGCCGAAGTCGGGCAGCACCGGTTCCCAATCCCAATCCTTTGGTCGGACACGGGCCAGGAGGTTACTCCAGCATAACTCCGGCGATTCGGACGATAGGCGTTCTATACAGGCGTTCGGTAGGAGTCATCCTCGTCTTTTGGCAACTCTGGTCTCTTCACTGGCATTCCCTTCCCTGGCCAGAAATGCACAAAAGCACAGCCTCCTACAGCATTTTAATCCAGCTTCGACGCCGCAAACTAGTAAATTCAACTCCAATCAACACTTTATCCACTTTTGTGCATTCAGACACAAATTCTTTTCCGTCTACTGCTTCTTTTATTTTGTGTATTTTATGCCTCCGCCGTGACTCTCTGCCGTTTGATTTTAATGGACGTAACGTTGCGATTTCGATGTGATAATCGATGGGGGCGACTTTCTCGAACGCGGACACTTTCAGTGCACCCCGGCACTGCTAATATTGCGATAAATAATACGTTTATTTAATGGCAAAACAAAATGTACATAGTTCACAAATGTTCACGGCGAGACGAACGATTACACGCTAGAGTTGTAAGCTAGATTATCGGGTGCCCGAAATTTGGTAACACTGCGGTTGAGACGACACCGAGAGAGTAGCGTGTAAATTTTATAAATTAATTATATTATGAATTTTAAAAATACAACATAAAACCCACATAACTACAATAAATCTCTTTTAAATAAAATTTCTTTAAAATTAAAATAGATTTTTTAAAGATTTGTTGAAAAATATCCCTGGTTGGGATACAGGCTAAAAATATTGGGATATTTTAAAAAATCGAGGGACGCGAATAACAACTAATTAAAAGTTACACTTTTTTTTAATTTGTTAGAAAAAAAGTATCTTTACGTTTTTAAAATAAATATTTACTAATTATAATTAATGGTTGTAAAAATGGCTACAGTGGTGAAACGAAACAATTTCACCAAATTACCTTCGACGACCTACGCTATGATTTAGCTATCAGCTGGTCACACTTAAGTATTCCCGCCTCTACTAGCATCGTCTCCGCAAATCGCAATTTATTACAGCTGGTGAAATACGAATTATTCGCAAAAATATTTATTAAAATGGGCTACTCATCTTTGTCTACGGGAGTGATTGCTGTGAGTATCTGATTCGAAGTGTCAAAGATGTCTAGAATTACGTTAGCCATTCCGTACAGCGCATCATGCACGGCGAGGATGTGTCCAAGCCGGTGCTCCAGATCTTGGCTATCAAGAAGATTAACAGCAACGCTGACTCCGAGCGCTATCGCATTCTGATCTCCGATGGCAAGTATTTTAATAGTTACGCCATGTTGGCCAGCCAGCTAAACGAGATGCAGCACAAGGGCCAGCTTGAAGAGTTCACCATAGTGCAGCTGGACAAGTATGTTACGTCCATGGTTGGCAAGGACGGAGCCGGCAAGTAAGTAGTGTACCATATACCCCGATGTTTACCAGAACTAAGAAACTTCTCTACAGACGCGTCCTCATCATTTCCGAGTTGACGGTACTCAATCCAGGAGCCGATGTAAAGGCCAAAATCGGGGAGCCTGTTACTTATGAGAATGCTTCCAAGCAAGACCTGGCTGCCAAGCCGGCACCGCCTCCTGTCGCCGCCCATAAAAAAGAACCCGCCCATAATAATAATAACAACAACAACAACATAGCCATGAATTCCTCGATTAACGCCGGAATGACTCATCCTATTTCCAGTCTAAGTCCTTACCAGAACAAGTGGGTGATCAAGGCTCGTGTGACTTCCAAGACAGCAATCCGCACATGGAGCAATGCCCGAGGCGAGGGCAAACTATTTAGCATGGACCTAATGGACGAATCGGGTGAGATTCGAGCAACAGCCTTTAAAGAGCAGTGCGATAAGTTTTACGACTTGATACAAGTGGACAGCGTCTACTATTTTTCAAAATGCCAACTAAAACCGGCGAACAAACAGTATTCCCAGTTGGACAATGCCTACGAAATGACGTTCACGGGCGAAACCGTCGTCCAGCTGTGCGAAGAAGCAGATGATGATGCCATTCCGGTTATCAAATACAATCTTGTGCCCATTTCCGAGGTGTCTGGTATGGAGAATAAGGCGGCGGTGGATACGATTGGTATCTGCAAGGAAGTCGGTGAGCTGCAGGCCTTCGTTTCGCGCACCACCAACAAGGAGTTCAAGAAGCGTGACCTTACTCTTGTAGACATGAGCAACTCGGCCATAAATTTGACCCTTTGGGGCGATGATGCGGTCAACTTTGACGGTCATGTGCAGCCTGTCATTCTGGTCAAGGGAACTCGTATCAATGAGTTCAATGGCGGCAAAAGCCTGAGCCTTGGCGGCGGTTCTATTATGAAGATAAACCCTGATATCCCGGAGGCCCACAAGCTGCGCGGTTGGTTTGACAACGGTGGCGGTGATAACATTGCCAACATGGTGTCGGCTCGGACGGGCGGAGGCAACTTCTCCACCGATTGGATGACATTTAAGGATGCCCGTGAGCGCAATCTCGGCAGTGGTGACAAGCCAGACTATTTCCAGTGCAAGGCTGTGGTTCACATAGTTAAGCAGGAGAACGCATTCTATCGCGCCTGCCCGCAGACCGATTGCAACAAGAAGGTGGTCGATGAGGGCAACGATCAGTACCGCTGCGAACGCTGCAACGCGCTTTATCCAAACTTTAAGTACCGCCTGTTGGTTAATGTAAGTACATCCAAGAGGATTATACTCTATGAATTGTATTTCTAAAATGTGTTCTCTTAGATGAGCATTGGCGACTGGACGTCTAATCGCTGGGTGACCTGCTTCAACGAGATCGGCGAGCAAATGCTCGGCCACACATCCCAGGAAGTGGGCGAGGCTCTGGAAAATGACGCCGCAAAGGCGGAGCAAATATTCTCGTCCCTTAATTTTACTTCTCACATCTTCAAGTTGCGCTGCAAGAACGAGGTCTATGGCGACACGACCCGCAACAAGCTGACTGTGCAGTCCGCTGCTCCCATCAACCACAAGGAGTATAACAAGTATCTGCTTAAGGAGCTAAAAGAGCTGACCGGAATCGGCTCTTCCAATTAATTCCCGTGTGCAGTGCACATACACATACCTATATGAAATACGTGAATGATAAGATACGCATAAAATTATGTTATATGTTAAATTTTTTGATTTGTAAATCCAAAAATCGCCCGAGTTTAATACAAAATACAATAAAATAAATTTAATTTAGTTTTTTCAAAATAACAGAGAGACTAGTTCGCTTAGAAACAGTTTAAGTCCAGACGGACATGCTTATAGCAACTCAGGAGGTGATCCTGATCAAGAATATATATACTTGATACGGTCGAAAAAGTATTAATGGTCAGAAATGTCTTCTTTACTGTGCTGCATACTTTTGACGAAAATTATAATACCCTCTGCAAGGGTATAAACATGAAAACGTCTCATTGTATGACTCCGCTAAGCAAAGAATAAGCCTAACCCTTAAGTTTAACCCCTTAAGTAAAAAACAGAGCTTTGAGATAGTGATTTCGTTATAAGATAATGCGAAAGACCAAAGAAATATAAATTGCAATAACAACCTAAAGAACAATTGCAAGAAACATACACAAATGAGAAACTTGTAGGTGAGACTACAGACCATAAAAATATAAATTGCAATAGCAAACCAGAAAGTGCAAAATAATTCTGATAACCTTATAGGAAGAGTATAGTGAAATAAACGTAGAAATTATTCTAAAAATTTTTTGAAGCGAAAAGTCTACTTTCAGTCATTGGATCAGTCAGTTCCAACGCCTCTGGAAGATACCTTTTTGTGTAAACGAATAGCAAATGAAATAAAGTAATAAAGTGTAAAAACCGTTTACTAAAAAAAAATCTTTCAAAAAACTGTCGAAAATGTTTGTTTATCGAAGAGAAAAGTGTCTGGATGTCTGAATTTTATTTTGTATTATCTGCAAGTTTTTTTTTGCGTATTGAAATTTTATTTTCCAAATACAAACCAGTTTTTTTTTTTTTACTTTTAAAAGCTTTAGGGGCTAAAGCAGTTAGAGCTTTCTTAAAATATCAAAAAATATTAAAATGTGTACATACATTTAATATGTATTAATTTAAATACAAAATAAAATAAATAAATAAACAAGAAAGGAAAGCTAACTTCGAAGTTAATATACCCTTGGAGTTAAAACCGGATATATATGTCAAAAATCTGATGTAGTTGGGCGAACATTATAAGAATATCATAATATAACCAATTTATTCCAATACGAAATCTAAAAAAAAAGACCCAAGCTTCTATCTTGAAGTAAAAAACAGAGCTTTGAGATAGTGATTTCGTTATAAGATAATGCGAAAGATTACAGACCAAAGAAATATAAATTGCATTAACAACCTAAAGAACAATTGTAAGAAACATACACAAATGAGAAACTTATAGGTGAGACTACAGACCATAAAAATATAAATTGGAATAGCACCCCGGAAACCGCAAAATAATTGTGATAACCTTATGGAAGAGTATAGTGAAATAAACATAGAAAGTATTCTAAAAATTTTTTTTGCGAAAAGCTTTGAACGATCAGCAGTCTACATTCAGTCATTGGATCAGTTAGTTCCTACTCCTCTGGAAGATACCTTTTTGTGTAAACAAATAGAAAATGAAATAAAGTAATAAAGTGTAAAAACCGTTTACTAACAAAAAATCTTTCAAAAAACTGTCGAAAATGTTTGTTTATCGAAGAGAAAAGTGTCTGGATGTCTGAATTTTATTTTGTATTATCTGCAAGTTTTTTTTTGCGTATTGAAATTTTATTTTCCAAATACAAACCAGTTTTTTTTTTTTACTTTTAAAAGCTTTAGGGGCTAAAGCAGTTAGAGCTTTCTTAAAATATCAAAAAATATTAAAATGTGTACATACATTTAATATGTATTAATTTAAATACAAAATAAAATAAATAAATAAACAAGAAAGGAAAGCTAACTTCGAAGTTAATATACCCTTGGAGTTAAAACCGGATATATATGTCAAAAATCTGATGTAGTTGGGCGAACATTATAAGAATATCATAATATAACCAATTTATTCCAATACGAAATCTAAAAAAAAAGACCCAAGCTTCTATCTTCAAAAATAAAAAAGTTGGTATTTTCACCAAATACCATTTCCGATCGTTCCGTTATATGGCAGCTATAGGATATAGTCGGCCGATCACTCTCATGCCAAACATAGCACTGATGCAACATCCGAACTCTCTAACTCTAAAAACACCAAAGTTAAAGCATTTCCAATCAATCAGTTATATGGCAGCTATAGGATATAGTCGGCCGATTTCGGCCAATCCGACTTATATACAGCGTGCAAAGGAAGGTGTGTGTTCAAAGTTAGTTCGCGAAGAAACTGACAGTCAGACAGACGGACAGATGGACGGACATGGTCATATCAACTCAGGAGGTGATCCTGATAAAGAATGTATGTATATATTTTATAGGGTCGGAGATGTCTCCTTCATTGCGTTTTACACTTTTGGAAAAATTATAATACCCTCTGCAAGGGTATAACAAGAAAGTATGTTATGTTTTTTATGAGTGTAGGCTAGTTTATTTCCGCCGCCCCATGTACGCCAAGTTTGAATTTTATCCTCTTAAATCGAGTGACCGTCCTCTGAAATTTGCCGCCCTCTACCGACCCTAGGCCGCGGCCCGTTTATATTATTTCTCACCTATATTTCTCACCTATAACTCAAAATAGATATATTTCTTATTGATTCTGAGAACCACTCCTTCATACGGGCAGACGGACTTGGCTTTCTCGACTCGGCTGTTGATGCTGATCAAGAATTCATACTTAATAGTACATACAGAAAACAAATTGAAGTAACCTATAATTTTTAATTATTTGTTTTACTCTAAGAATACTCGAGTTTAATAACTAAAGAAAACTTTTAATCTTTTTCAGCACCAACCAAAATGAGTTTTTTAAACGTAAGTAGTAATATTCAACTCATTTCATTAAAGTTGCAATTCCTTAAAAGGTATTTAAATGATTACTATAATTTTAGAACAGAGAATTCATTTGTAACGTGTCTTACAAATTGGACCCAGCCGGATTTATAATGGCGCGCGTTACCCACAAAACTGAGATTAAAGCCTACGATAATGAAACTTCAGGAAAAGTTTTCCTTATTTACTTGCAGGATGAAACTGGTGAAATAATTGCCACTGTTTTCAACGACTTGTGCAATACTTTCTTCAACCAAATTGAAACTGATCAAGTCTACATATTCGAGCATTTTGAGGTGAACGACGCAAAAAAGGAATACATTTTAGTGCCTCATCCTTTCACTATAAACTTTTTGAAATGTACCAAGGCATTCCCTATTGGACCCATTATCAACTCCATTCCTGGAACAACTTACAATCTGAAAAGCATTTCGGAGATTTATGAAAAGCCTAAAGGCGACGCTGTTGATACCATTGGAATTTGCACCGAGGTCGGCGAATTGATCGTCGTTGGGGACTATCATATCCGTGAAATTGAACTAATGGACTATGACGATTATGATGGAGTGATTATTTTGACCTTATGGAATGAGGCGGCCAAAGAATTTAACGGTAAAAAGAACGATGTCATTTTGGTTAAAGGGGCTCGTATTAAGGAGCACAATGAGGTGAAGAAAATAAACTTGGATTGGTACGCTAAAATGAAAATAAATCCAAACTTACCAGAAGCCAAAAGTCTTATAGAGTGGTATAATCATTTATAAATAAAACAAGCTAAACAAATACATTTCTGTTGAAACAAACGATATTTAATTGTCGAAAAATACTTGTAATACAAACAATAAATAAATAGTAAAAAGAATTAAGATTAATCGCCCAAAACCAATAGCACTTGGCAGAGGGGCTTAACTAGAAAATATCCACTTGCGGGGCTAGGAAGGACTACAACTAAAGGGCGCTCGCCAGCAAAGGAGCTGCCACAGGATGTGATAAGTCTGCACAGAGACAAAAATAATACAATACCCAATTCATAATTAATAGTTTTTTCTACTCTCATATTAAGGATTATCTGTCTAAATTTATAATGTTCATAAAGTAAAATATGAGCCATTCATTTTTAACTTTTCTAGCACCTTCAGCTTTATAAAATATTGTTCCAAATTCTCTAATCCCCTTTAATGTACTTCGTCACTTCGTCATTGTATAAAAAATGTTCTTTTGTTGGCAATAAATTCAAAAAAGAACACATTTTTGTGATATTTTTCTCTCTGTGCAGGAGACTACCGACTGAACACCATTGGCTGGAGCAAGGGACTTGACTACGTACGGCTAACCGACCAGAGACGCTCGATCGTGAACACTTAACCTAGATCTCAGATAGCGTTGGGATGGGCTCTGGGGCCTAGTTGGACAGCTGCTGCTCCCCCTCCGCGGGCACCACGTGCTCGTGGTCCTCCTTGGGGGCCAGGCTCAGGCTGCGCTCCTCCTCCTCGCGCTGCTCCGCCCGCTTGGCCTGCTCCTGGCGACGGATCACGCCCTCCATCGACTCCCGCAGTGTGTCCACGTCCAGGGCGTTTTCGTCCTTGTCGCCGTCCTGCTCCTTTTTCTGCCCGCCGGCAAACTTGGAGAAGTAGGTGAGCGACTTCATCAGCTGGTAGCTCTTGGAGATGGGTATGTTCGAGTCGTAGACACTGGTGCTGGAGCTGCAATCTACGTAGAACCACCAGTTGCACTTCAGGATCGTCTGGTCAAAGAGCGTGTTCTCTGGGCACAGGAAGGACTTGCGCACCATTCCATCATCGGTGAGGGCGCACACATGGAAGACCTAAGAAAAGGATTTCGATTACAACCTTCTAGGTTATGTCTTGGACATTCTTTCGTACCATACACCCAAGATCTGTATCGGCATATAGACCCGGGAAATGTTTCTGTTTCGCGCAGGAGAAACTCGTAGGCGGTAGGTCCACTTTGGACTTGAAGTTGTCATCGAAATTCTTGTCATAGCCAACAGGGTAGTACTCCTTAGGGGCGTTCATCACCTAAGACGAAGTACAACATTTAAATATAGGGGCTAAGGGAAAAAAGTAAAATATGGCTTTCAGGGCTTTACTCACCTTGGACACCTTGTGCTCAGCCATCGACTTGGGGGGGCGAGGCGTGGTGGTCGTAGTAGTTGTTGTCGTCGTCGTGGTCGTTGTCTTCACCGTGGAGGTGCGCATGAACTCCTCCCTCAGCTTGGCCGCCAGCTGGGCCCGGTGCTCCGCCTTCAGCTGCTGCTCCCGGACGTAAATTGCATGCTTGATGGTCTCCACGCTGACATTTGCTGCGGCCGCCAGTTCCTCAATAGTTACGTCTTTCAGGTCGAACTTTGGCTCTTCGAACTGCAGATAGTTCGGATGGCTGGCCACAGTTCGGTGCTCCTTGCCCACGTTAGCGATCCGGGCAATGGACTCCGGCATCGCCTGGAATACTGGAACTGCCGCAGGCTGAGAGACCACTGGATTAGCTACGTGGAAGGTACGATTCGAATGCTAAAAAGGGTGAGGCATTCAAGATATAAGATTAAAATACATTATAGTTTCAAAACTGCTAAAGCAATACAAGTAATTATAATCATCTAACTTCTATCTCTATTTCCCACTCTACTCATAGTTCATGTTTCCCTAGCCTTTGTAGATGTCCTATATATTTCTGATCAGAAGGTAAAACTTAAAGTTCAAATATAGATTTTTAGGCTTGCATCTTACCGGTTTATCGATGGCTGCCACAAGCTTGTTGTTGACACTGACCCTGGGCTCCGTGGTGTCCACGGCCACCCGCCTCTCTGCCGTGGTCGGAGCCGGAGCGGCTGCAGCGGCCGCCTGCTTCTGGGGAATAGGCCGGAAAGCGGGAACTCCAAGTGGCAATGGACGCGCTTCGGTCATGAGATGGGCCTGCTGTTGCTGCTGCTGCTGCTGCTGCAGAAGAAGCAACTGTTTAAGCTTCAGTTGCTGCTGCAGCTGTTTTTGTTGCAAGTGTTGCTGCTGCTGCACTTGCTGCAGGTTGTAGGGCGCCGCTCCAGTAGAGCGTGAACTGATGCGTTTCTCCGGCAAAGGGTGCTGAACTGGGGGATTGGCCTATAAAGCAATATTGATTTAACCTTGAAGTATATGGACAGTACCTCTCGAACGTAAGTTACCTGTTGCTGGTTGGAGGGCAGCACGCCCACCATTTCGGGGGGTGCTCCGTTTTTGTAGCTAATGGCACGCCGGCGATCGGGCTCCACGTTGCCCAGAGACTCCGGGAAGCCCAGCTCGTCGCCCAGACTGAAACCTGCAAAATGGGAAAAGGTTTCTGGTCAGCTCAGGCCGCAACGGCCCCATCAATCTCTTCGAACGTGGTCAAGGGTTGGGCAATGATGTGTTAATTAATGACTTTTGTTTTGTTTTTTTTTTTGTTTTGTTCCCTTCACGTGGTTGAGGTAAGCTAATCCACCGCAGAAGGGTCTTATCAAAGGCTTATGATCTATTCGGTTTGTATTTACAGATGGCCTAGTAGGATATTTCAGACAAAAAACGGGGGTCAACGGGCAAGGTTTTGCATAACTTTACGCTCAACTGTTGGGTAATTGTGGCTTACTTTGGAGTTTTCTGAATCGATTAAATCTACACATGGGTGAAGGGGCTCCATTGTTATAATAAAGGTGGTATTTAACATAAATCTTCTAAGAGGTATAGGTCTTATAAAATCTAAACACATTTCCCTCTTCAATACTTTTTTAATACATTAGCTATTCGAGCTAATAGTGAATAGTATTCCTAACAACCTGCTTTCCGCGCCCCTGATATGTGAACTGCAGGTCAGTCTCGAAGTCGGACTCAGACTCTATGGTCTGCTTCTCCGTTCAGGTGCTCTACTTTGGACTTGTTGTTACCACTGACATTGGCATTATTGCATTAATGAATTACTTAATCGTTCGTGGTACGGTTCAGTTCGGGGTTCAGACGAAGTTCGATTACTCGACCAATTAGTTGCACTTGAAATTTAAAATCAGCTGCCTTGGCTTGACCTCAACCTGTTTCGATAGACTATTTACAGGGGGAGTGTGGAAATGAAACGGTGATGATGTTACGGGATGATAGAATAGTTGAGGGATTTACCTAAACCGAAATGGGCCTTGAGGCCACCCAAATTTCGGACACGAAACAGTCCAGACTTTTTGAAGTTACAATCGAGAATGAAACCAAAATCGGAGTTTAAAACACACGTCCCGCAAGCCAATCCTATAAATAAAGAATAGAAAAAGCAAACACAGAATAGGATAGTTCGATCATATAGTACAAAAGTAATGATTAAAATTAGTACAAAAAGGTTCATATTAGGGATGGTTGTTGGGGTTTTTGGGAATCGACAGGAGGTGCTTCTGTGTTGTTTTTTCCCTACATCTAAGCCGACACCAAAGAGCTTATTATCTACGCTTAGGCTAGCCTGCAAACTAAAGTATTGTTAATTGGTTAAGGTGGGTGGGGCTCCAGCTTTTGTCGCTTGGGTTAGATCACAGTTTGGCGTGGACATAAATTAATCAAAATTTTATCACTGTCAAGCAACGACTTGTATTTTTTCATTGAAAATCGGCGCGAAACCCGGCCCGCACCGAATCAAATGGCGTGGCGGATGTCTTGATTAATGTGCAGATGGCCCGGTTATATATCGCATATGTGTATCTGATCCGATGGAATGTGTATTTTAATATCTTCCATCTGTCAGATGGAGGTGGGACCGCAGAATGACCCACATTGGATTGGCGCTGAGAAGATGGCCCCATCCGACCGCAAGCCGCAATAAAACCAAGTCCCAAGCATTCTCGCAGCCAAAATCGATTAACCATGCCGTGAGCAGACCCATTATGGAACCACACATATTACTTCCTTATGAACATCAGACCATGGACCAGGGGTTACAAATAGCCTGGGTTGGTTAACACTTATTGAGAGCAACTCTTATGACCTGAACAAAGTTGAAGACCCCAATCCGAATTGCGCGCGTCTTGGGTTCAAATTAAATTGTTAGCAAGTCAAGTGGGACATGTAATACGAGTTTAAAGTGGATTCTTTCAAAATGCCCCTACGAGGCCCCTGTGATCTGTGTATGGTCTATCCGGCCGGCATGTCGTACATCCATATTCATGGAGCCGCGTTCGAAACCGATTCTAAGGCGGCTAATGGCAGGCCATTATGGGCCAGTGGCGCATGTGGCCAATTGTGGTAATCGGCTTAGACATTACACTGTGGAAAAGGCCCCACTAAACGCTCTCTTATAATGATTTAATACTTTGCATTAAAGTCTTTACTTTTTTCAAGTGTTTAGTCGCCACGGGTCAGATAGGAGTCGAGTCCAACAGTTTGGTTTGCGAGTTCAAGGAAAATGGAGCTGGTTTTATAACCGCCCGCCTAATGGAGTGTCAGCATGGCAAGGCAATGTTTGGCCATCTCCCTGGGATCAGAGTGCTCACCACTCTGACCACATCGGTCACTTCCTCCTCATCCCACTAATTACTCTACCCACCTCAAACCGCAATCTCTCCGCATAATTGCAAATTGCAATTGAAGTCCCCAGATATTTAATTGAACTTTTACTTGGCTGCGGTAGTGATGGATTGGCATTACGCATTCGCCGGGTGGGCGAGCAGTTATTTTAATTACGCCTGCAAATGGCCAGTTTGGCGACAAAATGGACAAGGGAAACCGGCAATTAGTTAGGGAAAACTCTACGCAAATAGCCAGCGAGATACCGAGGAGCAATATGGGGGCAATACTATATCCAGCGACATTTGCAGTTAGTCAGAGGCGATCGACGAGCGCTTTCTCTCATCTCATCTCGCGTATGAAATGCGAGTTGCTGCGGCTTTACGACCATTTTTTTTTGTTTTGTGTTTTTTTTTAACTGGCATCCGCAGCAAGCAGCAAGTGGTCAAATAGAAATTCAAACTAAACAAATAATGAGGCATAAATATGCACGTGGGGCAGTGCCGGTATAGACAAGTCATCGACATCGACCACTGGCTGTCACTGGCCATCAATGTTTAGTTACTTTACTTTCCTCGAAGCTGGTGTTTATGTATATCTTTCTCCGCAGCCAAAGCCCAAAGTCTAGTTAGCACCTTCGGCTGCGAAAGTGGGTCATCTTGTCTCAAAAACATTGATATTAATTGCTCACTGTGGATCAAAAACAGAAACTGAAGCCGAAACCGAAACCGAAAACTGAAACTGAAACTGGCTTGCCATGCTCAGTGTTAATTCAATTTGATGATCTCCCACGGCAGCGGCATGGCAGCGACAAATGCAAATATCTTGTATACATTATCAGACATCATATCGCCTAGGCCGTCCAGCCGACCCTCCATTCATCGTGGCCAAACCTTAACCCAACCTCTAAAACCAACGCCTCTCTAAGTGGTTTCCCTTTTTATATTCTGCACTCATATTTAAAGGCTTGGGCATTCCATTGTTGGCAAAATGTTTTACGGTCAATCTTTTTATCTCGTTTTCAATGATTTTTGCACGGAGACGAGCAACGAAGGCCCTTTGGGCGACAACCTTTCGCTTTTTTTTGGGACTGATTCCGAGAAACTTTCCATTTCTTTTTAAGGCTTACGTTAATTCATTTACATAATGTTCTCACTTCAAATACCTCAACTCCCAGCTTGAATCAAAATTAAAAGGTACATCTATGGCCTACAGGGTTCTTATTCCATTAAAGGCGATAAAACCCATACTTTGGACCTTTGACCTTGCCCCGCGAGTTAAATAGGCAATCCAAAATGAAACCATTATCGCACAGCTTCAGGGGAGATTGCTTGGATCGGCTTAGATTGTCAAAACGGGGCTCGAAGTGTCGGCCACAAAAGCGCGGCTTGTCTCACTCCGCTCGCCGGTTAATTATGTTAATTGAACGATGGTCTTGACAGTGAGCGATAGGCCCAACAAAAGAGCCCCAACTGACAAAAATGTTTGACAAAGCCATCGAATTAAATTGCAATTTGGCCGCGTGTGTGTCTCTGGCGGTGCGTGTGGGTAAAATAATCAGACTGCCACAACAACAAAGGTGTGGAATGGAATGCAAGGCACCGAGATGGCCCAAAAGCGGTGCAGCATCTCTCAGCCCCGTTTGAACTGGTGAACCGAAGGTCTTACGTGAGCGGGTTGCGTGCTCGGAAATGATGAACCAAACACTTGACAAGAGCAACAAAATATATAGTTGTATAGTCGCATAGTCACAATTGGTATGTGAAGACGATCTCAGACAATAGGGGCGATAATAACGCCTTAATTTATTCCTAATTGCAAACAAAACGAGTCGGATGCTGCAGCTGCGAAAGGGAAAGGACAGGACTCTTGTGTGGGAAAAAGCCTCACCGGAAATCTCCACATGCACTGAACAAAGTTTGGATATACATTTTGTAAGCCATAAAAGTCTACTTAAAGATTATTAGCCTTGATTGATACGTTGGTTACCACACATATTTTAAAGACAACTTTAATTGTTTTAAGTAATATTTAACTAACCATTCTCGCATGAAAGGGAACCAAACAACAACTAGAATTAATAAACAAATATTTATATTTTTGCAAGTGCATTGCTGCCTGGGCGCCTTTCACTTTGCGAAATTCCGGCCCGAAGAGCCTTTTACTTATTGACCAATTGTATGACAATGCATTTTCTTTCACTTATTATTTTTAGTACTTTTTGACCCCAATGCAGTTCCAGCCACACTCGGCCCTTGGCCGGGTCTCTAAGTTGTGCCCAAGCTAATAGCCGATGGCAACACTTTTTGTCAGAAACCTTCGCAAAAACATTTAATAACAATGTTTACTGGCACATGAGCCGTATGTATATTTTCAGTGTTTAACTATTAGCTGTCACTTTTGCCCAGAAAGGGCTAAGACACTATAGCCAGAAGTATTGCATAAAGCTCCGAAGAAACATCGGCCCCGGAATGTGGGTTATATAAAACGGCAGACACAGAAACAGAAACCACTGAAGATGCTGCGTCATTGACCACAAAACAGAAATTGAGGCTCCAATACAGAAGAGGCGAGCGAAAAGAAAAGAAAACACAAAGGGGCTGAAACATCGACGCATCTCAATGTTTTCGGATACAAATCGGCCTGGTATTGATGAATCATGGCCCACGATTGCCGGACACTGCTGGTGGCTTTTATGAAGCCATCAATGGGGCATGAGAGATCTGGGCAGGGCAATGTCTGTACATATTTGGACAACACAGTGAGCCGAAGTAGTCCCTTCTGGCCTCATGGTCCACTTCTTTTTCGGCTGGCAAAGGTCAGCAAACATGGGTTAAATATTATGCAAATTAGGCGGCGCAAATTGCCGAAATTAACACCAATCTGGTTGGTTTTAGACCAGCAGTTAGCTGAACTTGACCGATATTCTTACACATCCGGCCGTAGCTGTAGATCGTAACACTCAATCATCTCCAGCGCGAGCGAAGGTCGGACGGGCTAATTTATGGCTGGCCAATTGGCGAATTAATTGAGTGGTGAACGGTCGGTAAATGGGCTAAATAGTCCCCCGAAAAGTGTCTGCCTTCAACTCACACAAGCACTAATTGTGTGCCGTACAAACTCCATTTTTGTTCTTAATGAGTTGCACTCTACTTCAGGTCAAGAATGCTCCATGGGCACCATGACTAACCCAAAATCAATCCGGTTTCCTCGGCAAGGTTTTGCCAAAGCACAAGCATAATAAAAAGCCGAGACCCAATCCAAATGTGAATCCGTACAAAAAGCGATGCCAATAAACTGAAGCCCCAGGTCGGGGGCCTAATGGCCATAAACACATGTGCAGATAAGACAGTGTTTTTAATTCTCTTTTGGTTTTGGCGCACTTTTCGCAGCGATTTGAATACATTGTCAGTCAATTAATGCGAAGAATATAAAAAATACCACCTGCCTGCGCTCCAACTCAAAATTGAATATGTCTCGCAACTTTTTGGATCGAGGTGACCAATTGGCCAATTGTTGGCCACTGGTCGCGATTGCATTTGGCCAACTGCCGAGAGAATCATCTTAGCCCCGCTGCAACCTGTTTCGGGTGTGAGGCCTCGTCTTACGGCACATCCAGGTGCCAAATCAGTCAGGCCGTAAAAGACTTGGAACACAGGCCAGACACTCGAATTCAGGCAAGTTCGTCGCTTAAGTCATTTGTTTTATATTTCTTGTTTTCGCCAGCTGACAGCCCGAATCAATTGAACATTAGCCCGACACCCGTGAAAAGCAATTAAATTTAAGCCCCGACATAAACAAAAATAATAATTTCTTTAGAAAATGGCAAAAATTAGGAAAAATGCATTCGTCTACTCACTTGCAGCCTGCATGATGAGAAACCCAATCACAAAAAAGTTCATTTTCGCCACTTTTTTCTCGCACGAATTTTGTTTTCGGATGTTTTCCCTCGATTTTTTGGAAAATAGAGGTGATTTGTTGATTTCGTCGGAAGCGAAGAGCGTGTAATTTTGTTTCTTTCCGATTTTCTTCGCTCACACACACAATCCCAAAGACGCACACACAAGCCCACTCAAATGGCTGCAAAAGAAAACTGAGGAAAACACAATAAACTTTTATTATCGTTGTTAGCGAGTCGCGACTCGTGCCGCAGATCGGAAGCGGATAGTTGATTTAATTAAATTTAATGAACTTATTATTTTTATCAATTATTTTTACTCGGCGGTTGGAGGAAAGCGGCGAAGAAAACACTCAAAGCACAATGATAAATAAAACCGGTAAGCACAAGAAACGCAAATGAGCGGGGTAAACACTCTCACTCTCTCTTTCCGCGGTAAAAGTGAAGATCGGAGGCGGCGACGCGACTGAGATGCGCCGATAATCGTGCCAGGTGTGCGTAGGCGCCAGCAGAGGCTGCAGCAGAGGCAGCGGCAGTGGCAGAAGCGGCAAACTATTATTATATTTTCATATCGACCAATAACGGCAAAAAAAAATAATGGGAGCGAAATTATTATGAAACTGTGACTCAATCATAATTGAATATGTTCCCCTAAACATTGCATTAGAAATATATTTGTTCGTACTGATTTGTGTATGTATAGTAAGTTTAAAGTATAAATATTTAAATATTTAATATTTAAATATAGTAAATATTTAATTTAAAGCTCTTGACAAAAATCAAATGTTTTCCTGGTTACTGTTATAAATTGGACTTTATGCTATGTCATTATTTAATGATTCGATCTTTCGAACACAATGGTACGCCTGCGCACAGTTTGGTCAATTTAATAGTTTCAATATAATGCTTTCCAACTTGAATTGCAATACAACATGTAATTTTTGTCTATTCGTTTAAATTTTAATTCATTTTTGTGATTAGTTTCAAAGCTTTTGCAATTTAAAGTAGTTACAATTTCCTCAAATATATTCATTCGAAAAGTGTGCAATTTAGTATTTATAGACTTTAAAAAATATTCATTACAATCGAGCGTTAGTAAAATATATCTTAACAGAATTTGAAAACTTTTTTGAATTAAATATTGATATGAGCAATTTCCATGCGCCTATTTTATGCGTATACGTAATATCGTAGTGTTTATCTCAATTCTGGCCATCTCTACTGGGATTAAGCTAACGGCATATCCGCCAATAGTCCCGCCTGACACACCGCACGCCAAAACTCCTTCGCTGCGCTCTTGAGCATAACAACCACTTTCCAATTGCCCCAGCGCTTTGGTTTGTTGGTCAGCGCTCCATAATTTCCTCGGCTGTCTCTCGCTTGCGTCTATTGTCACTGTCAACCGTTACTGTAGTTGACTATATGACTATATAGCTATTGGCGGCGAAGGCGGCTGCGCACATGCCAACTACCAGCCACGCCCCCATACCGAAACGAAACGACAGCTCTGCCATGGCACGTTCAAGACAACAACAATAGCAACAACAGTTCTGGTTCGTTTTGAAACTGGCAGCATAGGTAAAAGTTGTTTTCGATACGGTTTAATTTCGTTAGGTCTTATGGCCGCGTTAATTTTTCGCCCGAAATTAGCGCAAATTCGATTTTTACACACACATGTGTGTATGAACACACGAAGACAATTAACACTTTCTTGAATCAATGTTAACCAAATTAGGCACTCGATTTAATTTTGTAATTTTACACTGCTCACAGGCCGTTAATATGTTCGAATATCGCCTTGGCTTGAGTGGCCATATAGCATTGCCAAAGCGAAACTCCAGCGACTTACAATCTGCTACGATCGCGATCACCTGGCCAGGTGCGAAACTTAACTTGTTGCTCGGGCGCGCGGCCAACGACTGAATCGGATTTTGAATTGGAGTTGGTATCGCGGCAAGCCGAAGAAACCCACAAAGTAAACGAGCGCACTCGAGCGCCACTAAATCAGCCGTGGAGCCACGAAGCCTCTCTCTCTCTCTCGCTTGGCAACACTGGCCCCACCGCTGATAACTGTAAGTGATACGGCGTTATCTTGAGGTGAAATGGCCTCCAAGTCAGGAAGAATACAGAACACGATCTATTTATTAATCTTGATAGTCAATTTTTCAGATCTTTTTATTTTAATTTTTATATAACTTCTATAACTTACTTACTTATATAACTTATTATTAAAATAATACATTATATGTTGCACCATTTTTTTTCTTTGTGTAACCCCAACTAATCCAATTAGACCTTGACAAATTTGCAATCCTCAATACAGTAACTGATCGAACTGTCTCTACATTGCCCTCACGTTATTGAAAGCCACATGTTTATGCTTAAATATTTCACATTTATAGTCCTTTTAATTACTGGACAAGTTCGGTGCAATGAGTTTTCCAACACAGTTCCAGATAAAACCTATGCCGCCTCAACTTCAGAACTAATGAAACTCCTTGAAGTTGAGGATAAGCTGGTCGAGAACCTAAGTGGCTACGTGGATGAGCTGAAAAAGAAGCTAAGCATAGTAGAAAAGTAGGTTGAAAAACAGCACAAAAAGGAAAATTATTCATAAATTCCATTACAGATCCTTAAGTAATTTGAAAGCTAAGCACATCCAAATAAAGATGGATTATGAAACGTACTTGGGAAACCCTTTAAACAGCTTCAGTTTAATTTATCGCCTTACTTCGGGCTGGAAAGGTTGGCTACAATACACCTCGGAAGCACAGAATGGAGAATTGAGTATGTAAAATTAATGAAATCTAACAGAGTCGCTTTAATATGGGTCCCGTGTTGATTAACGATTTGTATATACCCATTGTCGATCAATCTGCACAAAAACCAAATTTTTTAAATATTATTTCTCTTATTTCCTGGAGAATCTTAGAAGTTCAAAATAAGACCAACCAAAGGTGTGATAATTTGTATACCCTTGGTACCCAGGGGGTATTATAATTTTTGTCAAAAGTGTGCAACACAGTGAATGAGACAACTCCGACCCTTTAAAGTATATACATATATCCTTGATCAGATTCACCTCCTGAGTTGATATAAGCATGTCTACTAGTCTCTCAGTTTTAAAGCTATCGTGTTGAAACAGTGCCTTCATTGCCACTCTCATCTTTCCTTTGCACGCCAGTTATGAGTCGGAACGGGCGGGATCGGTGGACTATATCATGTAGCTGCCATATAACTGAAAGATCGGAAATGGTATTTGATAAAAATACCAACATTGGGACTTTTTTTCGATTTTTTATTGTAATAAATTGGTTTTATTATACTCGTAGTATTCTCATAAGGGTCGACCAATTATATCCGATGTTTGCGATATATATCTGGTTTTAACTGCAAGGGTGCTTAGTTGGTAGTTCGGGCTCCGCCCCAAGCTAGCTTTCCTTTCTTGTTCTGCATCAAATTATAATAAATTCTTATATAGTTTATTTATCTGTTTTCTGGAGAGTTCCAGTATTTCAGTCATTATTTCCTTTCTTGATCATATTTAAATATTTCCCCAATTGTTATAGCACATATTGATAAAGCCGACCGCATGCGAACTCAGCTACCGACCTTCTTCGACTTACAAATGGCGTCCCGGGGCATCGATGAGCTGATGTCCTTTTATAAGCTAAAGCCCGAGGAGCTAGTAGTTGGGAACTTATCAGGATACTTACGCCCAGAGTAAGTAGAAAAATCGGTAACATAAAAGAATAATTATTATTGCCTTTCAGAACTGCTCTGTCGTCTCTGGATTGTTATGCTCTTGGGGAGTTTTGTGTAAAAATTCGAAAGGATGCACTAGCCGAAGCCTGGTTTAATGCCTCTCTAACCCAATTTAAGGAAAATAATTCCGTTTACAATATTTATGGTTTTAGTAAGTCAACCGTTGATACGTCATGGGGTGCTCTTCTGGTAAAAAATCAGCAGTATGACTCAGCTATTAAGCATTTCCGCAATAAGCCACAACCAAGTACTATCCATCGAATAGTGCATGACCATTTTGAAACAGATTTGGCCGTGAAGAAAAACTGTAGTGCCACATTTCGATCACCAAATCACCTTCATTGCCGTTACAATAGCTCCACATCACCTTTCCTGCATATTGCACCACTTAAGATGGAGGAGTTGAGCACCGATCCCTACATGGTGGTCTACCACGATGTGATCTACGAGAACGAGATAAATTTGTTGCTGAACTATAGCGATTTCAGAACTTCCCTGGTGGGCGAAGGTCAGGTCTCATCAATAAGAGCGTCTCAGGACATGCCCCTAAACGCGGATTCTGGAGAGTTAATAAAAAACATTGAAAATCGGATAAGAGATATGTCAGGGCTGATTGTGGAAAAGTCGGATGACTTTGTGCTAATAAATTATGGAATAGGAGGAACATATGCGCCACACTTCGATTTTTACGGCTATTCGGAACCGGTATGGATCCACGGAAATAATGTTGCCTCATTACTTAAGAAACTTCGTTTAGGTTCGACTGAACAGGGGCGATCGTATTCTAACAGTTCTATTCTATGTAAGTTAAATCGTTTTTGGGACCTTTACAACTGCAGACTAACTTATTTACAGCTGGGTGATGTGGAACTGGGTGGATCAACAATCTTTCCGCATCTGAATATATCCATAACCCCCAAGAAAGGATCGGCGGTCATGTGGTATAACCTTCACAACTCCGGCGACACCCACGAAAAAACAGAGCACTCTGCCTGTCCGGTGATAGTTGGTGCCAAATACGGTAATTTTGGAAATTTAAGAAAACTTCCTTGTTACATAGCTTTTCTATCTGCAGTGCTTTCCAAGTGGATAAACGAGCTGCAGCAAGCATTCATCACTCCTTGCATGAAGGATTCCAACATTCACAGTTAATGAGAACATTTTTCCCCCCAGTTAAAACCTTACAAACTTATCAGTATGACAATCTATTCAAAAGTATAGAAATAAAGCGGATTCATTTAATATCACGCAAACTGTTCGCTTAAAGCCATTATATCCATCTAGTATCAGCCAGAACCCACCGCAGTTGCCCGGGTGAGGCGGTATTTTTGCACAGCATAGTGCGCCCCCTCCTCAGAGGTTAGCTGAGCCTTGTACTTCTCCAAAACGAAACTGTTTTGCACAGCGTTCAGATTATCCTTCAGAAATCCAAAGTGCACAATAGCGTTTGGAACAAAGTTAAGCTCCAGTAACGTCTCTTCCGAAGGCAGTATCTTTTTCGGTGGAATTGTGAAGAGGTGGAATTTCTCGCCGGGGTTTACTAGGAACTCACGAACAAAATCCTCCACCTTGGACAGTGGCTCGTGAGGTTTAAACATTCCCTGGAGTACAAAGCGATCTGGAAACTGAATTCGCAGAACGCAGTCCTTGTACTGATTCAGTTTTGCCAGCATCGTTTTTTGGCGCTCCAGCTCCCTGAGCTTGGCTGTCAGCAAAGGGGCGTCATCGTCGCCGGTCGAGGTGCGTTTCAAGTCCCGCAGTACCATCTTTAAGTCGTTTACAGTTAGATCAAAGAAAGAGTCTGGCAAATCCTCTGCCAGCTTCTTTGACTCGTCCAGTGAGAAAAGCACAGCTTGACGTGGACCAATTACATTAACCACTGGCGGAGGCCGACAGGCAGTTTCGTCGACCTCGTTCTCCTGCCTCTTCCGGCCAGCAGGAATATGAAGCGAGTATCCAGAACCACTACCCCAGTCGTATTTCGGTGCTTCAGGCTGCACCTGTTGTGGATGATCGGGTTTCTCAGACGAACTAGCATTTTCATTTTCTGCAGTGGTTTTGTCGTCGGGGGCCGTGCGTTTTAGATTTTTAATCATGTTACTTGTAATGGAAAAGCCACCACCTCCTCCACTGGCAGCCATTGCCGAACGGGAAGTGCTAGGTTGGTCGTCATCGACTGTGGGCTTGGCTTTTGCCTCAGGCGGCTTGTAAACATTAGCCTGTGTCTTTAAATCCTCCGGCTTCTTGTCTATGAGTCGCATCATCGCACGGCCCTCCAGAATGCCCAGCGATTTGAGGGTGGTCTGCTTCATCTGCGCCTCGCCGATGACCTCGCTCCGTGTGTAGACAATAACCGGACTCTCGTAACCTTTGACCTGCGACTCACAGAGCTTCTGCACCACCAACCAGACGGTGTCATTGGGCGTAAATTCGCCCTGTTTTCGTGAACCGTCAGCCAGCTGGACACAGACGACCACACTGCTCAAGGTTCGCCGCTTCTCCGTGGGCTCCATCTCCAAGACGCAGTTGTTCGGCAAGCCGCTGAACCGGAACTGCTGCGTCAGGCTAACCACCTTGTTGTGGAACTTGAGGCAGTGCTCCTCGCTGTCGTAGCCATGCTTAGCACATGCCGTTTCTAAGATCTCCAGCAAAGTCATGTTCGCCGTCACACTGACATTCTGTCGCCGGGCGTTTGGAAGCAGCACTGTGACGCGCTTATCCATCGATTCGGATTGGTCCCTGCGATGTTCAGGGTCAGTATTTAAAACACAAAACAGTTGCCGCTGTCAATCTCACCTAATTTGACGTTAAATAAAATGCTAAGCTGAGCCTGGGACTTCAACTGAGGTTTGTTGCTATTGATAAGCTTAAAGTTTCCGCAGCGTATTGTTTACTGCGTGACTTTTACTTTTTTCTTATCGATATTTTTAGAGATGCGCACGACTAAAAATAAAAAAGGCAAAATGCCCTTTAAAAGGGAAACGAGTACATTACGCTACTTCTGCAACTTACAGTTATACTAGGGAAATTAAATAAAATAGGGCTTAGGTTGAATTAAATATCCTAATTACATGCAGTAAAATATCGTTTAGAATATCGTATAAAGCAAATGCGCAGCACTGATCGTTAGCTAGGTTTTGTAGAATCGACATCTCTATAGTTGCGCCTGATAACAGAAGATCGCACATTCGCAACATCTAATATTTTTTACATTTTACAGATTATTGCATTTATTAGACAATAACGATGTATGCGAGACTGCTGCGCAGCGTTGGAGCAAATGCCAGGTAATAAGAGAACTTTAAAATCCAAAAGAATCAACAGGTTGAATGTTCTACCGATTACATAAACACTTCCACTTTGTTTTTGTTTTCGGCAGGTGCTTTGCAACAGAAGCTACACCGAAGGTGCGTCCGATTAACAAGATTCTCATATCCAACCGAGGCGAAATTGCCTGCAGAGTCATCCGCACTGCTAGAAAACTAGGGGTCCGCACGGTTGCCGTGTTCTCAGATCCGGACGAGAAAAGCCTACACACGCAACTGGCCGATGAGGCTTACCGAGTAGGAGAGGCTGCCTCTTCTGCGTCATACCTTCGAGGTGAGCACATCCTGGAAATAGCCAAGCAGTCGGGTGCACAAGCCATTCACCCGGGCTACGGCTTTCTTTCGGAGTCAGTGGAATTTGCGGAGCTTTGTCAGCGCGAAGGCGTCATCTTCATGGGACCGCCTAGCTCCGCCATCCGTGACATGGGTATAAAGAGCACAAGCAAGGCTATTATGGCCGCGGCTGGAGTACCTATCATCAATGGCTACCACGGTGATGATCAATCGGACGAATGCCTCCAAAGAGAAGCCAAGGCAATAGGTTTTCCTTTGATGATCAAGGCAGTGCGCGGAGGCGGTGGCAAGGGAATGCGTATTGCCGAAAATCCGGAAGACTTTCTATCAGCTCTCAACTCTGCACGCACCGAATCGCAAAAGTCTTTTGGAGATAGCTCAGTACTTCTAGAGCGATATGTTCGATCGCCTCGCCATGTTGAAGTGCAGGTCTTTGCGGATCAGTATGGCGATGCTGTTTATCTTTGGGAGCGCGACTGTTCCGTTCAGCGCCGCCATCAGAAGATCATTGAAGAGGCACCAGCGGTATGTGGTAGTATTTTTTATTAAAAAGCTTCTTTATTAACATAGACCCATATTTGTATAGCCTGGTCTATCGGAGGAGCTGCGTCGTGAGCTGGGCGAAGCCGCTGTTCGCGCTGCTAAAGCTGTGGGCTACGTTGGAGCCGGTACAGTAGAGTTTATTCTTGACAAAGAGGATCTTTCCTTCCACTTTATGGAAATGAACACCCGGCTGCAGGTTGAGCATCCTATCTCCGAGATGATAACGGGCACCGACCTGGTCGAATGGCAGATACGGGTAGCTGCCGGCGAGCGTTTGCCACTAAAACAGGAGCAGATCACCCGCAATGGCCACGCATTTGAGGCCCGCATCTACGCCGAAAATCCACGGGGAGGCTTTTTGCCCGGAGCAGGTCCCTTGCGTTACCTGTCAACTCCGCATCCTAGTGCCGAGGTGCGTGTGGAAACAGGCGTTCGCGAGGGAGATGAGGTGTCTGTGCACTATGATCCCATGATTGCAAAGCTGGTCGTGTGGGGCGAAAACCGATCGCAGGCTCTGAACTCCTTGATCGCTCGGTTGCGCGAATATCATGTACGTTTTTCTAATATAATACAGTATCTATTTTACCAACACATTACTCAATCATTATAGATCTCTGGACTGGACACAAACATAAACTTTCTTATAGATTTGGCATCTCACCCCGAGTTTCAGTTGGCCAATGTCCACACGGGTTTCATTGACGAGCACTTCGACAGCCTTTTCCCTCCAATTGTTATCAGTCAGCAACAGGTGAGCCAGGCTGCCCTGGCCCTGGTTTTCAATGAGTTACAAGCAGCCTTTAGCAACAGCAACGGTAGCCAAGATCCATTTTCTTCAGCCGCTAACGCGCGTCTTAACTATGCCTTAATCCGGACATATAACTTGAGAGCCAATGATAAAGGTATGGATAGATCAGAATTAAACAAAAAGATGAAAATAGGATAAGTGTTGTTCTCTTAGTTTATTCCGTTGCCGTCAAATACGATGGCGAGGATGTGCAAGTCCAGGTGGACGACGGGAGCTGGCAGGTGATTAAAGCCCAGAGAGTGGAGGATGGCGTGCGACTAAAAATACGTGCTAATATCGACAACAACATTTCTACGTATAACGCCAATATTGACGGAGCTAGCATTAGCTTGTTCCTTGAGGTAAGTTTAATTTATCAACGAAAACTATTTTGTTAATTACATTTGACCTGTTATTCCCTCAGAGCGGTAAGGTGGACTTTGAGTTGGTGCAACCAAAATTCTTGAGTGCCCAAGTTGATCAGTTGGGGGGTGGTGGCTCCCGCGTTGTCGCTCCGATGCCAGGAGTACTCGAAAAGGTTCTGGTGAAGCCAGGAGACCAGGTTAAGAAGGGCGATAGCCTGGCTGTGCTGATTGGTAAGCTAACAGAACCATGAAATTATTTTATTCTAAAACCAAAATTCACTTCGTTTCTCAGCCATGAAAATGGAGCACATATTGAAGGCACCAAAGGATGCCACCGTGAAGTCTATTGGCGGAGCTGAGGGAGATAACGTGGCCAAGGGGGCTGCGGTAATCACATTCGTTGACGAAGAAGCTGCTAACTAAAGTGCTAATCCCCATTTCGTACCACGGATTTTGTTGCATTTATCTACAATAATTATTTCAGGGATAACAATGTGCATTTATTAGAGTTAAGCTTAAGAACCTGTCCATATAATGGAGTCTTGTTGTATTTTGTCCCTTGGCATTAAAAATGTTTTGAACTGTTGAACACAAATGTGAAACACCGAGTCATAATAGACCAACGTTGGTGGTTTTAAAAAAATCTTTTATTCGTTTAAGTTCTTTTTTTTGAATTTTAATGGATGTATAAGATTTATTCAGTTTCTCGAACACACATTTCCTAAATGTGATTTATCTTTATGAATACATAATTTTGTTAAATTGAGTTCCGTACATAATTCTGCGTTTTATGGGTTGACTGAGATTGTTTTCGAATGCTTGTTTGAAACTAAAACCGGAAACTGAGTCCATTTTAAATGACGTTGCGATGTTTGCTTACAATTCGCTTTATTTGCAACTTAAAACATAATAATTTAATAAATGTTTAACAAATTTCACTTAATACAAAACACTAATCAATTAAAAATATATTTATATATACTTAGTATAAACATAATCAAGTTTCCTTTACGCTCGTTTTGCTTTAGTCCATTTTGCTCTTGAGTTTATACTTGTTCTGTTGTTTTGATTTAGCATCCCATTAACTTGATTTACGCAATTGAAATATGATTATGGAAACAGTTTCAGGCGAGTACTGAGTACTGAAGATGCAATTTGGTTTCTTGCCCTAATTCTTACATTCAGCCGATTTCGTTTCGATTAGTTTCCTAGAATCGTATCTATATTCATTTTTTTGTTTTCTTTTGATTTTTTTTATTATAATTTTTTTTTATTGGTTAGTATTAGTAAATGTTGCTCGGCTCCAATACGTAATACATCATTTATATACTATATAAATACAATTATATGGTACTTTAAACGTGCAACTTAACGCATCTTAGTATTTATGAGTGTGTTTCTTTGTTTGCGTTCATGTATGATGCAAGTGGGTGTTGATTTTTTTTATTTGTAGTGGGTAATTTGTGTTTTTAAGGTGTCTGTATTTGTATATGGTTTAAGGTAATTGTAAAGTTCGATATCTATTAAACACCTTTGTTGGTACTGGTACATACCCTCCTATCGACTCTCTCGATTCTTGACTTGCGACTCTTCACTGCCAGACCGCTTTTAATATATGTATGTTCTCCATTCTTTTATATCTACGGGTCCTTCTCTACGATCGCCCTCTAACTCATTTAAGTCTCGTTTTCGACGGCGGGAGCCCCACTAGTAAAACATCTGCCCACGCCGTTCTCATTGTCAGGCTGCTTATGTGATTCACTTAACGCTACGGATGCTCATAAGTTGCTGCTCTTGTTGGGTTGCGAATACATTTTTATTGCAAAGAACTTTTCGTTTATGGTTTCTCTTTTCCGACTTTTTTACTTTCCCCGTTTTAAATTAAGTTTTTCTCTATTCTCGTTGTGAGCTCGCTGGCTCCTGTGGAGGCTGATGTGGTTGTCGGTGCCGTTGTTGCTGACGTTGTTGCAATTGGTATTGGATTGGTCGTTGCCAACTCTGTGGTTGCCTCAGACGGATCGGGCGCCGTCTCCTCAGCACTCCTTTCTTTACTTTCTAGCTTTTTTGCTGTCATACTGTAGTTTTTGGGATATCTCTGGGAACAAAAGACATGGCAATTAATCTTACTTTCTCTACGAGTCGATTGCTAGGTATGAGTGCTAAGTCAGCGTCTGCGTGCCAGGTAAGCAGTAATCGCAATCTTGCAATTTAGTTATCAAACAGGTCATATATGGGGTTAATGCAAACGACTATTAATGACTATCGTATGTGATCCATATAGGACCTGTTTGAACAAGTCTGAGTGTGAATGGGTGTTGTGGATAGGAATCTTTGTTTTTGAGTGTGGTGAGCAGCGAAAGCTTGCTGTTGGAATTAAAAGGAAGGACAAATGGGACACAAACAAATCCAGGCGTGGCGGGTGCAACTCGTGCCGGGGACTGTGCCGTCAGGACGTAAGTCAAGGAAGTAACAAACACAAGTAATTGCTTAAGCTGACTCTCAGGGCTCAAATGAAACAACGCTAACTAACTTGGCGGCAAATCAAATCAAGCGGCTTGAGGAACTCTTGCTAATATCACCACGTAGTTGCTGCGGCGGTGGCTGTTGGTCATGCGGCTGCGGCTGCTGCTGCTGCTGCTTGGGCTGCAGTTGCAGGCTGAGCTGTTGCTGGTGAGCCTGCAGTTGTTGTTGCTTCAGCTTGAGTTGCTGCTCCGACGGCAACTGATGCTGGTGAAAGAGTACTGGTGGCAGTTTGCCTCCCTTGGACCGACTTCGCACGCCCTGCACATGTATTCAAAAGTTTTTGTATGGAAAAACGAAACAAAAATCGAAATACCGCAAAAGAAAACGCAATATATGCGTGTGTCGGAAATTAAAAAATATATAGAAGAGTTAGAAGGAAACCATAATGTCGGTATCAGCTTCGGGGACCGAAACTTGAATACCTTTGCAGAGTTTTTATTAAAAGTCAGACCTAAATACAATAAGGCTATCACTAAAATTTAGAATTATCATACTCTGCAAAAGTATAACCACCACATAGGAATAGATAGATATTATTGGATGTGGAGTGTAGAGTGTGTATATCGTGTGTACTGTTTTGAAGGAGGACTGCTTGGCAGGCGACTGGAAGAATCCCTCGGCTGTGGACACACTAACAGGGAATAAAGCCCTAGGCATCCGAGTTCTTAGTTACCTTTTTGGCCTTGATTTCCATTTGGTCCAATCGGTTGGTCAGCCCATTTATAGTCGTGTCTTCGGTTGTCGTCTCCTGAGCACTGCTTTCCGTCTCGCTATTCGCCCCACTGCCCGCTGCTGTCGTTGTCGATGTCGTCGTTGCGGGTGTTGTTGCTGTATATACTCCAAAAAGCTGTCGCGAGAGCCGTGGAATAGCATTACTATCCGCTCGAGCTGGCCAGGCCCCAGATGAAGGACTACTGGTGGTGGCAGGCTTTGCGTCACCCACCAGTTCCGTTCCTCCAGTTAATCCCTCCTGTGTTTCTACAGGCTGTGCTGCTGGGTCCGCTTTGTTTTCGTCGAGATTAGAATCCATATCAGACTCGTTGTTCTCGTCCTGATCCTGAAAGAATATGACAATGATTTATAAAAGTTTCAAAATATTTTATAATATTTAAAATAGGTTCTGTTTCATTAACGAACCGGTTTCTCGCTTATCTCGTCTGGACATAGTTCATAAGCCATAGTCCACGTGTTTCTAGCCGACTGCGATCGCTCCAGCATATACCCATTGGTGTTGTCGTTACTTTGGGCCGGCGGCGACCAAGAGTAAGAATTGTATTGACAGCCGATTCCCCGCTGCCTCTCCAGCTCGTCCTGCAGCCACTCGACGGCAACGGCCCAGTGCCGGCTGATGGCGGGGTTTGTGTTAAGCATCTGCAGAGCAATCTCGGACTTGTGGAACAGTTGCGTTAGGCATTTGATTATCTGGTATGCACGTTTCTGATAGTGTGTCTTTGCCCGCTGAATTGTATCCAACAGCCCCTCGCGCTCCTCGGCCACTCCATTCAGCGCATTGTGGATGCGGTGGTGCTGCCACGAATCACCGATAAGCAGGATGTTCAGTAACAGGTCCGTATGGTGGCGCATGTCGTGGCAGTAGGCAAAGCCGCACTGCCACAACAGTTCTGTGAGTACAGCACGTGAAAAGTGAGGGTTCTCCCAGCTGCAGTATTGGAGCAGCTTCAGCCCTTCGTCGCCCACATTTGTGTCCTCAATCACCTTCTTGATGTAGCTGCAATTACACAAAAAGATGGAATTAGATTGTGTTTCTATTACCAATCTCTAAAAATGTACCCAGTGCGATTGAAGAGGAGGTCCATGCACTCGGTGGACAGTGGTGTGAGCTCCTCCTGCGATACTGTTGCATCTTTGAACGGATTCGGAAGGGGCCGGGCATTTTGGTTGGAGCTCTGACACTTTTCGCTCACATCACTGCAGCGCACCAAGTGCGAAACCACCTGGTGGAGTTTGCTGAACTCCGGGTACTGGTATTTAATGGCCGGACCGGGGCCATCGTCAAGGGCTACTTGCATAAACTGCAGCGGGACGTTTAGCTGCAAGTACACATCACTTTAGAATGTCTCTCAAAAGTCGTTAAATTATTTCTTACTTTCAACAGCTGCTGCTTCTCGCGGGTTCCGAGCCCAACATACATGCTGAAGAGGCTGAAGTAGTGGGGCAGATGTTTACCATAGTCGGCTGCTTCTGATTTTAACAGACGCAAGACACTGATGAGCACCTGCTCGCAAAGATTGGCACCATCGAACCCGGGCAATGGCTCATCGTGGATGGCGAAGTGGCAGAAGAATACCACCAGCTTAACAAACACGGTACGCACTTCCGGCGAGGGCGCCATTAGGATATATTCCCCCAGGCGAGAGGGCGGCGATAACAGGGCATGATTGGCAAACCACTTTCGCACCAGTGCCGAGGACCGTATATGATGTGAAAGCGTGTCGTACCTAAAACCAAGTCGAAATATGTTTGGTTTGTTTAAATCATCAAATTTTGAAACACTTACCATTCAATGACGGGACCGCGCAGTGATTTCTTCGTACGGAAACCAGTGTGGAACAGGAACTGTGATGCCAATTGTACGCCCAAAAGGGAGAGCTCCTCGGCGGCGGGGGGTCTAAAAAAATGAAAATCTCACAAGATGCCCGAGCAAAATGAAACATCGAATACTTACGATCTTATCGCTCCGGACAGACGGGATATTGCAACTGACCAGCTTCTTTATGAAGTTAAAGAACTCCACGGAGAAGATGCTTCGTGAATGCAGAAACCTTATGTTTTGATGGCTGCAATAGGTTCAGAAATGAAGTTGAATGAAAACAATGTCGAGAATCTGCTACTCACCGTACGCTACGCTCGATGGGCTTAGGCAGGGGCAGGACCATGTTGCGGCTTTCCGTTAGCGACAATTGCTCCACACTTGGCTCGAACTGAACCGGATTCTGGTCGCAACGCGTATAGAACAGCATGTAGGCGTTCCACCATCGCTTCTGGCGGCGGTACTGCATTCGCTTTAGGTTGTTATCGTAAATTTCGCCCATGTAGTCGCCACCGAAGCAC